ACTCTGTTCCTTGGTTTTCTCATCTATAAAATGGGGATAAAATAGTACCTGCTCATAAGATTTTGTAATGACCAAACGCATTCTGATATGTAAAGAACTTAAAACAGTGCTTGGCATATAGTCAGAACAATATTAATATTTGCTGTCTATTTTTACTATCTTTATTATAATACTCCTGGGTATGTTATGGAAGACCTCTGTTTTCCAGACTTCTCTCAGATAGGCTGACACCACCATTCCTACTCCAGGATGGTTTAAAGGCAAAATAAAATAATTTTTAAATAAAGTAATCTCAGATGGCTTTCATATCAAACTTTAGAGCTTATGATAAATTTTCAATGGCCATGAATTCTCTGCAGCAATTCCATTAACAGATGGAGTCTATTTTCAACACCAACCCCCCGCCCTACCCCATGGGCTAGCCGTATGACGTTTTTGACCAATGGACTATGCGGCTTCCACTCTTGTACTCTTGCTGGACAGCTCTGTCATGTCAGGAAGGCTGGGCTAGCCTATTAGAGGATGAGACCACATGACAGAGATGAGTTATCTCTGCTGAGGTCCTTTATATCAACCACCTTCCAGGTTGAGTACTATAGAATGAGTGACCCCAGGTGAGACTAGCAGAGTCTAGTCCAATTGCTGATCCACAGATCCAGGAGCAAATAAAATGGTTGCTGTTTTAAGCCACCAAGTTTGGGGTTGTTTATTATTATTGAATAGATAATATAGAGCCCTAAACAAATGAGGCTATTATCAATAGCATTTCAAACACATACGCGCGTGCGCGCACACACACACACACACGCACACGCACACACACACACGCAAGAAACCAGGCCACTTGTCTCTCTGCCAGCAGGTTTACCAACCACCTCATGGTGCTTTCAAGCTCTCATCTCACCCACCTAGTGGCCACCCAGTGAGGCCACCACAGTCAGCATGTTAACTTTGGAAAAGCTAAGACTAATTAATGATCAAATCTAGGGAGGTGGAGGCAAGCTTTCTATGCCAAGATAAGTGCCAAATTAGGTCTTTGCAGAGGGGGTTGATGTGGGAACTCAGGATTTTATTCCTTTCAGTCTGTGATAGACTATATACGGGTCAAAAATGGCACAATTTGGCCTCCTCAGAAGTAGCTTCATATCATGGTCTTGGATGAATGAACACATAATGAAGTGGGTAGGCACCTTTAAGGCATGAGCAAATCAATTCAAGGTCAGCATCACCAGGTGAGAATCAGAGGAGCCAGTCAGAACAAACCATGTAATCTCCAAGGTCCAGATATGTGGCTCCAAGAATACAGAAAGCCCCAAACATCTTCATTTTTTCTGCTGGTCGCAGCAAGAGAACGATTACATTGAAAGCTTTGATTTTGGTGTGACCTAAGCAAAACCCCATACTACATACAATACAGGGGGAAAAAATACCAAATTCCACAGATCAGTGTTCTTTCATCTGTAACATGCTGGAAGAATTGGTAAACAATTGGGAGAATTGATAGGAAAATCGCTCTGAAATATATTATGAAAGATTTTGGAGGCCTAAGTCCTGGTCTGTGGTGACCACATCGAAATGAAACAATCTTATTAATTTGATAAGTTGGATCAACCATAGTGCTAAAGGTTCTTACAAAAGCCAGTAGCATTTGCCATGAATATATTTGTTCATCTCATGTTTGTTGAGCACATACGTTGTACTGTCTATTCTGTGGGTAAGCATGTGGAGAAAGTTGGTGGGGTGCACAGAGTGGAAATGGCAAAAGTTATATAAAGGTAGTTGACACACTTCACCTTCTAAGAGTTTACAGGTCTGGTCATCTTGAAAGACAAAATTTTCTGCTTGAAGCAACCCAGAGTAACCCAACCGAGCCCTGCCAAAGTTGTTGCATCAATCGGAACTGATAAAGTTATAAATCAAGAAAGTTCAGAAAACTCCTGGAATTACAGAGCTGACTAGATGTAAGTGGTCCATAGATTAAGATACTAAAATTAAGTAATTTATCCAAAGACTTGCAGCTAGTTTTAGTGCAGAGCCAAATTTGGGTCTACTTGGCTCCAGGCCAGCAGAACTGCCAAACCCCATAGAGACCCCACTCGAGATACAAGGTATTTACAATGAGAGGGGGCAGAGAGATCCCACAATGCCAATCTGTCAGCAGACAGAACTTGGCTATTCAATACGGTGAGCAGAAGCTCTGCACTTGTCACATGGGAGCAACTCAAGGATACAACCTCTGTGGAATAAACTTAAGAGCCCTCTAACCACATACAGCAGCCATTAAAACTGGCTTATGACAGCAAAGGAACAAGAAAGTACATGTTAAATTTAAAATTCAAAACATAAATACATAGTAACTATGTGAACAAACTATACACAAGGGAACAAGCAATCGCAAAACACACTGTATGCTCATGACTGTAGAGTAGTCATGTTTTAAAACTAAGTGATTTTCAGTCTTCGTTATTTTCTCTATATTCTCTATAAGCCAAACATGCTTTCATGATCTTGAACTACTTATATATTTTTTAATGTTTTGAGTACATCAGTGCAGAAAAGACAAAATGTCAATGATAGGTGATCAGAGGGCAAAGGGCATGTGAGCAGGGACAAGTGTGAAAGTCGAGTGGAATGCCAGGCATAAATGCCTACATGTGGGTCAAAACTGCAGCACGGTCAAACCCTGTTTTGTGCTGCTCAGTCAGTTATAACTCCATTCTGCGACTTTTTAGCTTGGTCATCTAATTTTAGGCAACTTACCCAATCTCTTTATACAGTTTCCTCAACTGTAAAAGGTGGATATTAATAGGACCTTCCTCATTAATAAGAGAGAATAATGCAAATAAAATGCTTAGTCTAGTGCCTGGCAGAAAATAGGAGCCAATAAATGTTAGCTGTCATGATGGTAGTGACAAAGATGGTAAGAATTAGTTATTATTTTTCATTACCATTGTTATCATTATTATTATGATTATTATTATGATGATGATGATGTTCCTAATGCTATGGTTAAAACTATATCTACAAAGGCATTAAGTTTCCTTGCTCTGGAAGATCACTCATTGTTCTCTATATGTCTCATTGCTGGACTGTTGCTTCTCTAATCTCCATATTCTTCGAGTTTATTAATAGCAGACTCTTAAGTTGAAGTAACAGCTTGCACACCACCCAATATCATCTGGGGGAGAACAGTGATGATAATATACAGATTCCAACCTGTTTTCTTGGGCTTAATTAGGATAGTATGATATCATCCTTTAAAAAAGGTAAAGCTTTACAATGACATGGATGGACCTAGATGTTATTATGCTGAGTGAAATAAGTCAGACAGAGAAAGATAAATATCATATGATTTCACTTATATGCAGAATCTAAGGAACAAAAAGAACAAACGAATTAAAAGCAGACTCACAAATATAGTAGACAATTTGGTGATGGACAGAGGGAAAGGAGGTTGAGGGGCTGGGAGAATGGGGTGAAGGGTTAAAGAAGTACAAATTAGTAGTTGATAGATGATCACAGGGAGGGGAAGCATGGCATAGGTAAGGCAGTTAGCATTAATACATTGGCTAGGTGAAAAACCAGAGAAGAGAAGGAACAATTAAGAGGACTGTTTTTATAAATTATATAAATGTCTAACCAATGTACTGTATACTTGAAACCAATTAAAATGAACGCATTTTAAAAAATTTAATTATACTAGATCCCACAGGTTAAAAAGTACTTATGAGCACACTGTGAAGAAATGTTAATGATGGAAATGTATCTCTGAGCTTTGTGTGTGTGTGTGTTAAATCACTGATGAGTCACTGTCTCTACTTTTGCTTAATTTCAAGATTAAATTCAGAGTTGTTAATAACTTAGATATTACAATGGTCAATTAAATAACAGGATCCACAATTATATATGTACACATCTGGGCACAACGGTATAAAAACAAATATACCTAGAAAAATATCTGGAACAAACATACCAGCATGTCAATTAAAAAAAAAAATGGTAAAGCATCTCAGTATATAGTCTACAGAATTCTGCTTTGTACTTGAAACATATAATTAACATTAATAAACATGAGGCTAATAATTCAATCTGCTCTTTGGACAAGAAACAGAAAGGTAAACATGGCCCTGGTCCCATCACCTCACAATCTCAGATGACTTCCTTTGGAGGCTGCCTCCCTTATCTGTCAGTTTCAAGGTGGGAGGTCTGTTTGCAAGGAAGAGAGCCTCTGGGCTGGAAGCTGAGAGCCCACGCCAGGGAGATTACTCAGCAGTCCAAGCTCAGGTCCCTGAAGCCTCAAAAAGACATTCGTGGCTTTGGCAGCCTGATCTCAGAAAACCAGACCTCAGATTCAGCTTTTTCCCTGGGAAAATGAAAAGGGGCCTAACAACTGAACCTAGTCAGCCTGGGTATTAAGCACCACATCTAAACGAAAACGGCAAAATGAAGTAAAAAGCAGTCATCAGTAAAACACAACTTTAAAGGGGCCCACACCGATGCTGTTGCCTTTCCTCTGTTAGAGTAACACTCTCATCCTATTTTGGATCAGGAAATATTTTCGAATCCTTAACATTTAAATGTCCTGTAATTACAAATGTCAATAATCATCACCTCCACTAAGTCAAATTAGCAACATATTTCAGTTGATATAGGCACTTTTGAGCATTGCTTCCCACTCCCCACATATCCCACCCCCATGACCAGGACAATTACTCTAGAAGGTCCTCTTTTAACTGGCTAAATTAGTGTAATATGTGGGAAGCAGAGTCCCTGGCATGGGGACTCCCTTCTGAATGCAATGGAAACATAACTGAGGGAGAAGCCAGGCTCGAAATGCTAGGACTGCACTGAGCAGCAAAGGGTTAGGATGGGATGGAAACCCTAGCACACCACCAAGGAGATGGACTAAAGATAGAGTCCCAAGATGTTAGAGAGTGATGACCTAACCCAGAGCTTCCAAATGAAAAGCTGAGGGTTGTCTGTAATTGCTTGATTCTTACCTTGAGATAAGAGAGAGTGCAGTTGTCAGGCTTCTTTCTCCAATAGCGAAGGGGTCTGCATCCAAAGTAACCGCCAGCCTACCAAAGATAAAAAGATAAGGTAAGAGCCACTGGTGACAATGAGTTACATTCGTGAACAACTGGAGTGTTTCCTCAGAAAAGGAAGGTAGGTCTCCGGATGTTTGAAGACGTTTCAGAATAGAACAGCAGCAATATAACCAATTGAACAATATCAAACACATGAAATCCCTAGAATCACGTCAGGTAGGGCTGTTAAGGTTACAGAGAGAGTGAGCTAATGTTTTATTAACACACACCTGGGCCCTGTCTAATTGGGAATGGTAATAATTGGTGAAATCATATACACCTCACCATGTTTGTCCACAAAAATGGCTGTTTACCAAGGCACTGGCAGAACTTTGTATAACACTGACATGTATCAGGGTATGTTGGCAGGTCAGTGCATTCACACATTCAACACATCCACACACAATGCAGACTCTATGCCATTTAACCAACCCTGCTTTGGAAGACAGCCCCAGCTGACGAAATAATGACAACATGAGATTAGAACCTAGATGAGGAGGTAGGAGGGAACTGGAAACTTTTTCCATGTGTACTCAAGTCACTAAAAAAAGACAAATAACGCTTATGCCCAATTTTTAAAAATTCTATTATATATTTTATCCCTATCTGTGATGGTTAATTTTATGTGTTTAATCAATTTGGCTGGGCTATGGTACCCAATTGTTTGATCAAACATATCTAGATATTGCTGTAAAGATATTGTTTAAATGTGATTAACACTTAAATTGTAGACTTCAAGTAAAGCAGATTACCCTCCATAATGTGGGTGGGCCTCGTCCGATCAGTTGAGGCCATAAGAGAAAAGACTGGGGTTCCTCCCAGGTCTCTGGCCTGGTGGCCTGCCCTGAGTATACCAGCCTCCATACTCATGTGAGTAAATTCCTTAAATATTCCCTCTCTCTCTCTCTCAATACACATAAACACACACACACACACACACCCCTTATTGATCAGGATTCTCTGGAAAACCCTTACTAATACACCATCCAATGTCGAAAAAAAGGATGAGTTGACTTTTAAAATATGTATATTATGCAAAGAAGACAACATAAGAGGCTACAATAGCATGAGGAAAAGTTAGTCCACAGAAATGTATATTGTAAAGTATTAAGTTATCACTTGATGTGGTTCATAAATTGGGTTTTTCAGTGGCCAAAGCAAAGTAGAAAACAGACGCAAGACAATCGCACTGACTCTAAGATAATATAAAATGTATATACTTCTCAAGAGTGTTAGCTTTTCCTTGTTGTTGAGAAATTGCTCCCAAGGTGTTAACCTTCCTTTCCTTGGGTAAATTCTTAAAGTATCTTTATAATCTTCATTATGGGGGTCAGGAGGGAAAGTAATAATTAATAGTGTCTCTCAGTGTACACAGTAGGGATCTCCCATAACATTTCCTACCACTTCCCTCAATATGAGATAAGAGGCCGAAGCACAACTCACTGAAGTGATTTAGCAAGGCAGAATGGTGCCCAAACATACAGCGGTCGGATCATCTGGCTTGAGCTGGGGATACAAATTAGAATTCCTGGAAGAATTAATGGACTCTCTATCCTTTGAGATATTTCCCAGAAATGTTATTACTTCTCCCAGCAGAAAGCCAAGAGAGAATTGGGCTACAACTGTCTGAGGCGGTGGTCTCGGGCAACAGCCTAGAGTAGAGGTTTTCTCTACTGCTGATTAGGGGCAGATTGACCAAAAAACACCCTCGGAAGGTTTATAAGCTCAGGCAATATATATCTAAGAAATATAAGATTTACTTTCATATTTTTGCATTTGTAGAAGTCTTATATACCCTTCTGCATTGGAATCCATTTTTTTAAATGGTAAAATATACATAACATAAAATTTACCATTTAACATTTTAAGTGTACAGTTAAGTGGCATTAAGTACATTCACAATGTTGTGCAACTATCACCACTATTTCCAGAAATTTTTCATCACCTCAAACAGAATCTCTGTAGCTATTACCCAGTAAGCCGTCATTACCTCTTTCCCGCCCCTGGTAACCACTGTACTACTTTGTCTCTATGACTCTGCCAACTCAAGGTACCTCCTATAAATGGAGCCAAGTAATACCTGCCCTCTTGTATCTGTATTTTACTTAGCATAATGTATGAGAATTCCTTTCCTTTCTATGCCTGAATAATATTCCATTGCAAGTACATATCACATTTTGTTTATTCTTGAATCATTTTTATATAATTAATTCAACAAGTAATTATCAAATATTTACAATGTAAAAGTGTGATTTTTAAAATGTTAACTTTATTCTAAGAACAGTGTATAAGAGGCAGAAGATGCTCCACAAGGAACCAATTAATTGTATAAATCCTTGTTTTAGAATGAGTAGCAGCGGCAAGAAAACAAGTCTATTAAATAGTTTTTTTTCCCTAAGGGTTAGGTAAATCTCCCCCACAATCTTAATTAACATTCTTCATGTTTAAAGCCAAAGTGAGATTAGAATATCCCCACTGAGTGGCCAGTGTACACTAGAACTCTGCATATCATGGTGCCTAAAGCTTATAACATGTCATTTTTGACCCACAACCCAGTGATAATGGGCTTCTATCAAAACAGCGGATGTCGAGAAGTCAGAGAAACTGCACTACTATGAAACACTGCTTTCTACCCCTGCAGATAAAAGACCCTGACAAAATCAACTAGAAAAGCATGTCTTCCCCAACCTGCTTGCCATCCATAAGCTTTTCCTTTCTACGGCATATTAATAAGGTAACCAGCCTTCTGTGTGGAAACATGGGACTTAAGACAAACGCAGCAACTCCTTCCGCAGACATCTGAATAGCTGAAAGACAAAAGCAAGGAGCTGCACTCCACTCTGTTTTTCATCTTCAGTGTATAAAAGAGCAGGGGGCACTAAAAGGAGATGCCACTGCTCACCTGAATTCACAAACGGGGCCCATTATGAGTCATCAAAATATGTCCCCAGGAAGCTATTGAAAAACAATCATTTTTGCTGCAAAGGAATTGCAAGCAAATTCAAGAGCCATAGAGGATTCAGGCCACTTTGTCCAGCATAAACTTCTCAGCTAGGAGGATCTGCTGTCATCCAAGATTGTCAGCACACAGCTGAGTTGAAGTTCATTCACAACTTCGGTGTTCAGTTAGCTGGAAACATGTCATTTAAACAACAAAATCTGTTTTAGGAAATTATAGAGAATTTAGCTGTGCTTTCCTCCTATGTTTTTTAAGCCTGACTTCAATAACAAAAGTATATTTTTTAGATTAAAAACAAAATAAACACTGTTAAAATTGTTCTTTTTAGTGTATAGATAAAGAATCCATCACTTCTAAAAAGGAGACCATGTTATGGGTTGTAGAAGCTGGCCCCAACAGGCTGAAACTAGGATGCTAATACAAAGGATCTCAAATTAGCCCACTCAGGAAACCCCCCAATAAGAAGGCAATCAGTTCTCCATCCCAAGCAATTACTCAGCCCCTCTTCTCAGAGAATCGGTCATACACTCTGAAAGTGGATGAGAAGCACAACTTAAGTACTAAAATTTTATCTGTGGCAATCATTATGACCCTCCAAGCTGTGTTACATTGATTCGAGCAGTTCTGATGCACACATACCCTCAAAAACATTTCCCACAGCCTGGATCCGCTCTCAAAATAAGAACCCCAACAAGGCAATCAGGATTCATCACTAGTTATAAAATTAAACTTGAACTTGGTAGAATGCCAGTTCCCTTCTCTTGTGGGCTGAATTGTGTACTCCTCATTTCAAAATTCATGTGTTAAAGTCCTAATCCCCGGTGACCCAGAGTGTGACTATGTTTAGAAATACGGTCTTTAAAGAAGTGATTAAATTAAAATGAGGTCCTTACGGTGGGCTCTAATCCAATATGACTGCTGACCCTCTAAAAGAAAATTTGGACACAGACATATACAGAAAGAACACTGTGTGAAGACACAGGGAGAAAACAGCCATCTGCATGCCAAGCAGATACACCTCAGAAGAAACAAAGACACTTGAGCTTTAGCTACGAAGAACACCAAAACCCTGCCAACATCTTGAGCTCAGACTCCCAGCCTCCAGAACTGTGAGAAGAGAAATTTCTGTTGTTTAAGCCACCAAGTCTGTGGTACTTGTTATGGCAGCCCTAAATAACTAATATTCTCCCTTTTTCTTTTGTCCTCTGAATACCCAATTTCCCAGGAAGGAGTCTATAAAGGTTGCAGGAATACTGTCTCCTACTCTTCTCCAAGGGCCTTGCTGCCATTCATTTCCTTATCCCCAACCAGGGCAATCTCTAAATCCAAAGAAAGTGACAAGTGGGGATTCCTCACAAATACCCTGAAGATCTTTACTCCAAAACAGGGAACCACCACCCCAAGTCCCCTGACCTCCATATTATAGGAGCTTTCTCTGCCTTTCCCAAATGCTCTGTGCTAACTAGAAGTTACCCTGCAAGCAGCATCTTTGGGATTCTATTCCCAGAAACTGCATCCTCATTCTTCATGCCTCAATGCCCAGGGCTGGCTCAGATGCCTTAACCAACCTCAGTTCCTACTCTTCCTAAAAAGAAAAGGAAGAGTTGTGGGCCAAAGTGTCCCACATATTACAGAAGAGTCTGGAACGAGAGATTATTGGGGACCAAAGGATTCCTGGTTGCTCCAAGACTTGAGACACAAGTAATTACTTTCTCCTTCACTGGAAAAGTTTGTACTTTTTGTACGAGAGCTGTAATGAGAGCTGACTGATGTTGGTACTGAGAGACACAAACACCGTGGTCTAATTTCCATACTTTCCGTAGACAATGTTTGGCCTATAGCACAGGTGGGCCTTAGGTCTGGCTCCAGAGGCTATGACTTAAAGGAGACCATGCTGGATTCAGAGAGAGACCATAACAAGATTGAGTGTTGGAGGTAAGTCACAAGTGACAGTGGCAGCACAAGGGGTCACCACGCCTGTCCTAGTGTCCCTGCTCCATTAGTCTCCTAAAGCCAACACAATCTTG